TCACCTCAGGTGGGGCTGGGGATATGGAGGAGCCTCGGGAGCACTGGGCAAGAGGGAGGGGAGGCTTAAGTTGCCCAGAGATGCTGTGGCTGCTCTGTCCCTGGAGGTGTCCAAGTCAGGTTGGATAGGGCTCAGAGTAACCTGGACTGGTGGGAGATGTCCCTGCCCATGGTAGGGGTGGGATGGGATGAGCTTTTGTAGCTTCCAGGTGGGTATGAGAAATGTGTGGACATCCAAACACCAACCTGGATTCCTCTGTATCAGGAACTGTAGTGACAGGACACAGGGAATGGCTTCTCACTGCCAGAGGGAAGGTTAAATGGGATATTGGGAAGGAGTCCTTCCCTGTGAGGGTGCTGAGGCACTGGCACAGGTTGCCCAGAGCAGCTGTGGCTGCTCCATCCCTGGGAGTGTTCCAGGCCAGGTTGGATGGGGCTTGGAGCAACCTGGGCTAGTGAAAGGTGTCCCTGCCCATGGCAGGGGGAGGGGGTCAGAAGGGCTTTAAAGTCCTTCCAATCCAAACCATTCCATGAACCCAACACCAACTGTGGCACAAAACACCTCACCCAGTCCCATAACACCTGGATAGTCTCACTTAAATCCAGGGCAAACAGCACTCTGGCTTGGAGGGTTATGTTATAACCACACCTGAATGCCTCACCCCAGAGCCCAGTGACAATCCTTGTCCTTCCATTGGCAGATCCACCATCCTGCAGGAGAGCAAGGCCCTGCTGCGCTCGCAGACGGTGTCAGACCAGGCGGTGGCAGAGGCTCTGTGTGCCATCATGCTGCTGGAGGACAGCTCCCCACGCCAGGCCCTGGCTGACCTCCTGTTGGCCAGGAAACTGGCCATCCAGCAGCTGCTCAACCAGCCCCACCACGGTCAGTGTAAGGTCAGGGTGAGCCCCTCACCTCCCTCCACCCCCACCATGGTCAGTGTAAGGTCAGGGTGAGCCCCTCACCTCCCTCCACCCCCACCATGGTCAGTGTAAGGTCAGGGTGAGCCCCTCACCTCCCTCCACCCCCACCACAGTCAGTATAAGGTCAGGGTGAGCCCCTCACCTTCTTCCACTCCCACCACAGTCAGTGGAACAAGGGCTGTGGCCCTACTAAGGTCAGGGTGAGCCTTTCCCTTTACCTCCCTCCTGCCTCCAGAAGAGTTGGGGGTTAATCCCCTCCATCTCATGGTGGTGTAAACACAGTCACGTTGTGCCAGTGCAGTGGTGACACTGCTGGCAGCATTTTGCCCCCAAAATGAAGTGCTCAGGGTCTTAGGCTTGGTTTTGCCTCAGGAATTAACAGTTCTTAGGGTCTAAAGCCAAGCAGAGCTGTCATAGGGAACAGGTGGGGCATGGGGCTGAGTTCATTGTACTCCAGCCCTTCCCTGGGATGTTTCCCTAGCCACAGGCTTTGAAACATGTCATTTCTCTGCAGGTGCAGGTATCAAGGCTCAGGTGTGTTCCCTGATGGAGCTGCTCACCACTACCCTGTACCAGGCTCATGCTCTCTTCTACACCATGCCTGAAGGGATGGCATCAGATCCAGCCCTGCCCTGTGGCTTGCTCTTCTCCACCCTGGAGAGCACCACAGCCCAGCACCCTGCAGGTAAGCACTGCACCTGCCTGGGGGTGCAGACAGGAGCTCTCCTGTGCTGGGCTGATCCTGACTGTGTTTGCAGGGAGAGGAGGGGTGCTGGAGGAGGATTGGAAGCTGAGCAGTTGGTTCAAGTACCTGCCCGAGTCCGTGGTGGAGTTCCAGCCCGCCCTGCGCACCCTGGCACACCCCATCAGCCAAGAGCACCTCAGGGAGACCCTGCAGCAGTGGATCAACATGTGAGTGGGACAGAGTCACCCTCTGCAGGGCTCACCCAGGCACTGTGTGGCCTCTGGGCCAGAGCAGCAGCACAGAGCAAACCCAAACTGGCTGATTACCTCCTCATCCCCTTCCTCCCTCCTCATCCCCCATCCTCAGTTAAACAGGCTGTAACACTGGGACACAACATCCCACCTGGGCTGCACAGATACTTGTCCAGAGGCCCTTTCTACTGCCACAACCACCAGCAAACAAGCACAGAGTAAGCAGGAAGAAAATCTCTTATCTGGCTCATGCAGCTCTTGATTCAGCACCTCCTTTCTCCTCACTCTCCTTCCTAGGACTGGGTGGGAGCAGCCAGATCCCCTTTATGGAGTTGCTAGCTCCACCCCATCCCAGCAGGCCTTGTCCTGCCTCCCCTAACAGCCCTGGGTCATCACTTGATGGACCCACCTGGTCCCTGCTGTCAGCTGCAGCCCCCAGGCTGTGCTTGCTGGCCATGGGATATTCTCCCTGAGCCCCTAC